TACCATCAATCGTACCTACACCAGGAAAACTACATTGTTTTGTGACGAGTCGCTGATGTCACCTTGTCTGGAAGGCTCGCTTGCCAAGGCGGCGTGTAATGACGATTCTCTTTGTTGTAATATGTTAGATTTATTGTAGATATGAATAACTATTTCTTCGAAGCGGGCAGTAGGATATGCCCTAACAATAGTAGCGATGATGGATTTCGTTCGGTAGATGCGTGTACAGCTATTTCACACTTGATACGACTTGGAGTTCTCACAACCGTTCGACAGAATGCGAGCAATAACAAGATCGGCAAATATTTCGGCGGAAACTCTGGTTATTTTCACACACTTAATGTTCTCGCGTATATCGGTCACGGTAAGTGACAGAACACCGATAATATGCGACGACAATTTGGTAGGTCCACACTTAATTCGAGAAGATGCGTTGAGAATAAGTATCGATTGTATGTGATCTTTATCGATCGGAATCGGGCAGCGAACTGAATATTCGCACGCATATGCGTGCGCGAGAGTCAGCTTTTCGAGATTTGCACATGGAGGGTCGCGTGCCATCCTGAGACAAACAGCGTGACCAGCACAGGATCGAGGCATGCTTATGCCCTGATCGCCCGGTGTCGACGAGCCGTTTGCCTGTTCCGAGAATACGAAGATTATAACGATAATTCCGGAACATACCGCCCGCCTCGAATGTAAGCATTCGAAATAATTCTCATCAAAGCACGCAAAATATAGGAATACATATAATGACGAAAATGCTTTAACACAAAGTAGTCGTGACGCAATACAGTTGAAAATTAAGGTTTCGCAATATTGGTAACATCAGGTACGTTTACCGGACATCCGCCCGCCATGACGGAATCTTTTGATCCTTCGGAATTGATCGTGACGGTTAGAAAACAAAGTTTCGCAATCGGTCGCTTATACTCGGAGCGCCCTGTTTTTACAGTGACGATGCGAGTTAGATTGTCATCGCCGGGATGACACGCCGTAATCCGGCCAAGTTCCTATTGGCTCGGTGGCGTTAGAGGGTTACGCATGAGAACGATTTGGCCTATTTTAGCCAGTCAATGGACAACGCGCCACTTTGGGCGTTGTTGAAGGGTATGCAAGTAATCATGGGACCAAGCCCTCCAAAAATCTTCGGTTATACGTTGAATCATTTGCCAACGCGAAAAGCGATTTTCGTTTAAGTTAAGTACGCTTGGTTCGGCGGGAGCGATGAACGAGGTTCCGATTAAAAAATGACCACGACAATTATCAGCGCATAATAATTGTCGAGATTATCGGATACGACAGCGATCGGACGCGAATTAAGGCACGCCTCGATTCGACAGAGCAATGTAGACATTTCCTCAAAAGTTAGCGTGTGAAGGCCGATGCATCGTTTGAGATGATGCTTGACACTTTTAACACCGGCTTCCCATAAACTGCCGAAGTGCGGCGACGCAGGAGGTAGGAAGTGCCACGCAGTTCCATCGATTGTGAGTCGATTACGGAAGTTGATGTCTCAAATGGCCTTTGCATGTGCGTTTGATAGTTTGCGATCGGCGGCGTGAAACGTGGTTCCATTATCGGAGTACATGGACGTCGGTAATCCTCGGCGCGAAACAAATTGTTGATACGCTGCTATAAAAGTCGGAGAGGTGTAGTCGCTGACGAGCTCTAGGTGCAGAGCTTTGGTTGTAAGGCATACGAATAAAGCGATATATGCCTTTTGTGATTTATGCCCTCGACGGGAATCGTGCGGACAGCGATCGGACCTGCGTAATCGACGCCGTGTGGACAAAGGCGCGAGCGGCATGAGTTTGACGGGCACGTCGGCGCGTTCACGTGCGCATGGTATGCACTTATATAAAGAACGGATCGAATGATGACACGGGCTCGAAGAATCTAGAATTCTTGTCACAATGACGTTAATTGAGCGTTAATTGAGAATCGACATGCAACGTTCTAAGATAATGGTGCTGGATAATGAGTACTAACAGCGGGTGCGCTCGTAGGACGATGGGATTCTTCGTCGCTTCTGGGAGACAAGTCTTCCTCAAATCCGAATATCCA